TGCAATCTTCTTTATTCCATTGATGTAGGCCCTATACTGAAAAAGAAAAAAAAAACATACTGTATACGAGTTTGACAGAAAATAAAAATAAACGATCAATCTAACAATATATAACAATTTTAACTTCTCATTTTCATTCTATGTAAAATAGGTTTATTACCGTTCACGTGGCAGTATATAACGGCCTATCTTGATTGATGATATGAAACACAGACATGAAGGTCATGGTTAAATGCGTTTCAGCTGACACGTCAATGCGTTCCAGATCCACAATTAACGCATTACATTACCGAGACACGACGGAAAAAACCAACAAATCAAAATCAAGATACATCGATTTTTAACGGAATTCGGATAATTACTGTACTAAAAGTCGGTTTCTATTGATTATTAAGTAGTTTTCTACTCTCGTGTGGTAATATTTTTATCATTTTTGCACCCGTGTGGTCGCGAGTGGTCCCGTGTGGTATTTAGTAGGACCCGGGCCGTTACGATTTTCAATCGTACGAGAAATCCACTCACGAAGCAAAGTGGGGTAGGGCCTGCACAGTCAGCACCATTTTTTAAAGAATATTTTTAATATATTGTACAATGTGTCTGGGTAAGGTACTGACGGGACTACACTACACTTGGTAATGATAAATTGTCATTACTATCGATTTCGTGTCGATGTAACGACGATAGCAAACAGGGTTGAAGCCAAATGAAGTATGTTGTCTTACACATCCTCGTATGTCTTTCCCTCACCCAAGAGGCATCCTAGTTCCGACACAAGTTTGTCTGCTATAGTTCGATTATGACTGTCTAAAACTATACATAATTTGATACAAGTAACAATCTTCAAGAATCTGGTTGCTGTAACTAGAATTGGAGTTTCATTAGCGATTTCTTCGCGGTGAAAACAACACTTTATTACAACCCCGGCAAACACAGTCCGCCGCTAGTCGCCATGTTGTTGTTTAATGTTGTTGGCTGTACCACAACACGTGAAGTTATTGTAACAAAATAGATTTAATAGTAGACTAAAAAATATTATTCTGTAATTAAAATACAAACTATATCTAATTATAATTTTTAAATTTGTATTTAAAGCAGTAATACAAAGTTCGCATATAATAAAATACGTATCAAAAATACAATATTCGAACGAGTACAGTGACGTTTACAAAATGTCGTGTGCTAATCTAGCGCAAAGAACTTTCAATTTCATAAGTTTAAACGTCATTTTCTCGTATTTGCAGAAGTTCTGACGGTCCAACTTTTTTTGGTGCTTTTAAATATTATTATAATAATTATCATAATGAGTGAAAGTATTATGAAAATTTCGGAACGGGACTGAACGTTAGGTTTTTCACCCCAAGGCCTACTAGTTGTACTAAAAACCAGCTACTAGTACTAGAGGCTAGGCCTGCCTAGGCTAACTACAGTACAGACAGACAGTAGGCCTAGGGAGGCCTGAGTTAGCTACGCCTGGCCTAGCTAGGCCTATTTTAGGAGTAGTAGAATGTAAGATAAAAGATAGTGTAGGACCAGTCTGCCCTGGTTTATTATTATTTTTTTTTACATTAGTATGGTTGTATCGTATTCTTATCTTACCTTTTCTATCGAACACTGCATCATCAGCTGCTGCACCGTCCTAGCTAGCCTAGGCTAGGCCTTGCAGCTAACACTGGGTGGCCCAGCTAGGCTACGGCTTCGTCGGCTAGAGGCTGTATGAAACATTCAATCAATCAAGTTGTGTTGAATATTAAGTCTTGCATCAATGAATTATCCTTGGTTTGTAGTTATCAGTGAGCAAACCAGCTATTATTGTTGTATTTTGTACCTTAAAATCACAGATATTTTTCAAACATTGGTAGACTCACTGGTAGGCCTACCTGGTACACACAATGAATTTGAATGTGGATCCAGGTTTCCATTGGTCAGTTTCGTAAGGTTAAAGGAGTGGTCAATGACGGCAGGGCATATAATGATGTCATTCACTCCGCCGGGTGTGGGGAAGGGGGGGGGAGGTCGGAAACCTGGAATGACATATCACTACCACATGGAGGATACCAATGACAATACAAATAATTAAATATATGAATAAATAATTAATTAATGAGGCCTAATTATAATTAATTATGTGTGCTGCTACAGAATCTTTTGTAACCAAACATAATTAACTGTTACAATGCTAACTGTGTGCAGTTACATACGACTTCCACTGTATGTTTACAGAATCATTTTGTTGTACAACAGAAGTATACACAAAACTACTGTACCAGTATGTATCTGTCGATACAAGCGATTTGTTTGTATTACTACAGAATCTTTTGTAACAACACATAACTGACTATTACAAAGCTAACATTGTTCAGCTACATACGACTTCCACTGTATGTTTACTGTAAAATCATCCGTTTACAGTGTAATACAAATACCATTGTAGACCTATTGCAGTTGATTCATTTTATTCAGAATATAACAGACCTGAAAGTATACTTGTACATCATAGTTACGAAAGAAGTCAAAGTGAGGGCTATGAATTTAGTTAGGGTTAGATCTATATTTGGTAACACACTTGAATTAAAATAGTTTTATTCAGCACACAATGTCACCGAAAATATGTATTCTCCAAATATCCTACAGCGAAACGTTGTCATTTATGTTATATCAATAAATAAATAAATGGCACATCGAATATAAAGTAAAGAAACATTGTCACAGATCTGTTTACCTTCACTTTGAAGCCAGTGGTGATGACAGCCATTACTACATATAAAACAATATTATTATACTTTATATTTAGGTTTTAATTTAAAAAAAAAAACGACAACAGACAGCGTTTTGACAATAAAATAAGATCAGACACGTTGACCATGACGTCACTGTTTGGCTTATCTATTAGACAACCATGCTAAAAGGAAACTGATTACACAATAGATGGTCTTTCTTTGCTCTAAAGACTTGTCTACATACAGCATTTGATCGATTTTATTCCCGATTTTATTCAGCACGAAATGCCAGCGAGAGTCTATTGTCATAGTATGTACAGCAAAACTGTGTCATTTATATCATTAAATAAAATAATACAGTAAGCTGATTTAATTAATGGCTTGACCAACTAAAAACCAGAGGAACAATCATCACAGCTCTGCAGTGTTATTTTCAGTTTAAAGTCAGTGATTACTTTACTACATATTATATAAACAATTTTATATAATTCCAATGTAGGTTTTAATAAATAAATCTAAAATAAGACCTACAAAAAAAATAAAAATAAAAATAAATAAATAAATATAATAAAAAAAATAAATAAAAATTGTAAAAACACGTCTCTTGTAAAAACAACAACTTCACAATAGATGGTCATTTTTCCGTAAAAGACTGCTACAAAGACTTGTCTGACCCACTACAGTTGATCGCATTTATTTAGCACCTAATACCAGCGAATATACTAGTCCAAATATTATACAGCGAAACTTTGTCGTATCATACAAAAGAAAAAAAAAATAGCCCACGAAGGACTAGTGGTGATGGCAACATCTACTATAAAAGATTATTCCTATAATTCCAATATATGTTTTAATAAATAAATCTAGAATAATATAGGTTTTACAAAATTGAAATAACCAAATGTCACACAACCAACTAACAAGCAGAAAAAGAAGCAGCATATAGCTCTGCCAAACAACACATTAGGGAAACCTTTACTGTAAAACATTATTCCTATAATTCCAATAATAAGTTTTTTAAAGAAATCTACAAAATGCAACAACCGTCAGCGTGTTTACAACACAACAAGTTCAGACAGGTTCAACATGACGTCACTGTTTGGCTTATCAATAAGACAATTATGACAAAAAGACACTGATTACACAATAGACGGTCCTCTTTTGTTATAAAGACTTGTCTACACATACTGCATTTGATCGATTTTATTCAGAACATAATACTGGATTCCTTATACATCACAGTTAGGAAAAAGATAAATGTAGGCTTTTGAATTTAGCTAGGGTTATTGTATATAGTTGTAGTCATGTATGAAATAAATTAGGGTTAAACATACCTGCTCTAAAAATTAGGACTTTGTAAAGCACTGTTCTAACAATAAAATATGTATTTTAGGGTTAAAAAAAACCCCTAAACATTGAATAATAGTTTAAACACACCTGTAGTAAAAATAGAACAATAGTTTGAACACCCCTGCTATAAAAATTAAATAATCGTTAAAACACCCTACTCATAAATGGAATATTCCTGATCCTCATGTTATGCAAATTAAGGTCAGTGATGCCAAATGCAGGCTTCTGGTTGGTCGAGAGCTTCCAAAATATGGAAAAAAATTCCCTGGTTAGACGTAGTGCACTACTATAATAAGCAGACCACAAAGGGCGGTAGACAGGTTCAGACGCAAATCACTTCAGTCGGCTGGAAAGAAAGGAGATTTGTCATTGGTCCTTTTAACTTGACAACATTGGTATATTTTTAGGTTCAGAACTGTATAGCATTATACAAAGGTACTCTTATAAATTTCAGCATAGGAATAAGAAACGTATTTCTGTATCGTTTTAGCTAAATACAGCATTGATTTTGTTTAAAATACAGCAGTTTCATAAAACATGCGTCTTCCTCATGTTTAAATGCATTTTGCAGGAGTACCTGGATTCAGTCATGCAAGCACCTGGTAGGGTTTGGCCGGACACTTTTGTGTAAAAAAAAAAACACGTGACCTGAGCAGCCAATGAAGCATCTTGCAACAAGTGCTAATATAGATAGCTACAGTAGACCGATGCAACACAGCGTACCAATTATTGACACGTCATAACCATACACGAATGAAGCACTTTTTGTGGCTAGAGAACCATGGACTATCTGAAAAACTATGAGTGAGTACAAAATATACTTGGTGTATTAGGATAAATAGAAAAGCAAATAGTTTAAACGTCATAAAGACTGATTTTATAAAGACTTAATAATAATCAGCGATGGCGCTAGTGGGTGGGGGTAAAGGCACTCTGTCAGGAAGAGCTAATCCACCCATCCATACCCACACCACGACGGGGAGAAAAAGACACTTTGTTGAGGGGAAAAATCATATTTACTTTTTTACATATTAGTAGACTCCAAAAACATTTAATTAAGCCTTTACTACTTCTGATACATTTTGAGCTTACGTTCTCGTCGGGGCCATTACCTCTAGTCTGCTAAATCTTGGCACACCTGTTCATAAATATTATAGTTCACCAAAAATGTTCAGTGTTTATACGATTTTTATAAAGGTTTGGTATAAATGCGAATCGAGCATTGAAGGTACTGTAAATTTTAAAATTGGAAAGCTACGGTTGCAATAAGTTTTAATGTAATTTTTTTTTATAGGAAACTTTCCTTTCTCACACATTCTTATGGAGGGTGCGTCCATGGCAATTACATAATAAAACAAGCTTTACAAGACAACACTCTAAATTTGTTGAACCAAATCAACCACAACCTTAAGCCAGGGATTCCCAATATTTTTGCATAAAACCTTAGTCTAAGTATTACTTAATATCGTTATTGTAACAATAAGACAAAAGTACAACATTAAACATGGCAGGTACTGTTATTTGAAGTAATGTAGAAACTGTTAAGTTGAGGCAGAGGTATGAAATATTTATGTTTATGTTACGTCTAGATGGCTGGAAATAGCACTGTCAAACTAAAAATGTTATATGTAATAAATGTAATTTTTCTTATATCCCCAATTTGATTTACATTTTGTAAAAATTTAAAATGAAAAACGGTTGATACTCCACCAATAAGATCAGTGGTGGCTCCAGGATTTGCCAGTCGGGGTGGGGGGAGGGGAGGGGCCCGAGGACCCCGACGAGGGGACCGATGCCGCAGATGAGGGTCAGGTTTCCCCGACGAAAGCAATGTGGGCGTGGTCGAGCTTCAATTAAAAGGTTTCGAAAGTGGTCCACTGAGGTAGAAAACTTGAATGTCTATGTCACTTCTAGATGCCTGTTCCTCAAAATGTTTAACTCAGAGCCAAAATTAAATGTGAAGCACGCGGACGCGAACCATCAGTCTGTCTCGAAGGCCAAATTTATCACATGGAGTTATTCCAAATAATCAATTTTCCTTTAATAGCTAAAGCTAATTTTAATATTTAATATAGCTATAAAATTGCTCTGCATATAATTAATTCACGGATATGTTAACCATACTCCCTAACAATGAACGGCTGAAAATCACTTTTTTTATATTGGCAGCCACTAATTTGCATATTTAACATAAGTATAATACATATATAATGAATTCAAATACGTTTTCAGATTCAACTTTAAAAAGAATAGTATTTATGTCAGAATCCCTGATATTCAAATGTTACATCCCTGATAATTAGTTACATGGGGGACCTTCCCATGCTAAATTGGACCAGCTATATTCTAATCAAATTAAATGACCAAGTAATCAACTATTACAGTAACGATTTTAAGCACAAATACTACTATGCATAAATATGCAAATTTAAAAAAAATATTACGCTAAGAAAAGATGTTTGCGGACTAAAAGACCTATGGAACACAGACAATTGATTTTCAGTTGATTATTTATGTACAATTCGCAATGGCAAATTTAGAGGAGGTGAGGAAGCCCTTTTCCCTCTTTTCTAAATGCTTCACAAGTTTTAAAAAAATAATAGAGGAGAAAAAAATGCATTCGTTCAAATTTAAGGTTTAGTGAGAGTGCCATTTCAGGCCATTTAGTTATACCATAATCATAAAATACTCAATCTGTGAAATTCCCTCTTTGGACCACTCTACTACCAATCTAATGAATATTAGTATAGTAACAAGTACAGAACTGTATCTATTGACGGGTTTATCAATACAAATTTTGGGTAATTAATATTAGTATTCTATATTATTGTTAAATAATGCTAAAGTATAAACTTACTTGTTTCTTGGATTAGAGTATTTTGCTGTGTCTCTGTACTCTTTCAATTTGTTCTGCACCACCCTCACAGTCGCACCATCAGACCCATGTATAACTACATTAGTTTTCTCTAATTCTGGTTTATAATTAATGTTATTGTATGTTTTCTTTGTCATTACTGAGCATTCTGCTGCAGTATTTTTTTTTTAATGTAACCTTATCATCGTGTTGTGTTTTGAACTCAATTAACCATTCATTATTTTTATCTTTATCATGTGCAAATACCTCTAAACTTGTGAAAGTATCAGATAGTAATCATGTGTTATCATAGTTAGGAACTACTTGGGAGTTACTAACATAAATAACATGTTATTCTACAACATTGAGCAAAATATCCCATGCCATTGCAATTTACATCTTTGACCATATGCAGGGCACTGTCTAGGCATATGCTCTCTTCCGCATCTTTGGCAGTTAAACGCTCTGTTTTGTTTTCCTCTATAGCTCATTCGCTGTGAACCACGCGGTTGAAAATAACGTTGTTGACCACGCATTATATGCGGTCGCTGGTTTTGATTTTCGTTTCTTTAGCTTGTTCGAATGTCATTCATTTCTTTATTACTTCTTCTAAAGTAAGGTCATCGTCCAACAGTCTTCCTCTTAGTTCCTCATCCATTACTCCGTTCGATATCTGTATTGCTACTTGTCTATTCTCGAGTTCTCCAAACTCGCATTGTCTCGCTAGTTCTCGGACTGCGGTAATATATTCAGCTAATGGCTCACTTGGCCCTTGAATTCTTGTTTGAGAATTCGTAACATACTTCTTTAAGAGCTTCTTTTGTTAGAAATATTCATCAAATTTGGCCAATACATTTTCTAGGCTCTGATTCCTTTGCCCGTCTTCAAAATAAAAAAATTGTTAAATACCTAAATGTATTCTTTTTCCATCGTGCAAGGTAACATCGCTGCTTTAATGTAGCCGTTTGTTGTTTGCTTATTCGTGCCGGTCAAGTAGAGGTTAAAATGTTGCTTCCACTCTGCCCACGAAGCTGCTGTATTTTCACTAGGATTAACTCACTGGTTGTTGTGTGGTGGTTGTGCAAATTTTATTAATTTATACCGTAATCATTGTACAAAATAGTAGGATATGAAAAATGAAACCATGTGGCCTACTGGTAGGTAGGCGATATTTTTTATAAAAAAAATGAAAACAATTGTTGAATGGGCCTTGTACTGTAGTACAGTAGTAGTAGGCCTAGGCTAGTGCTAGTAATAGGACCAGACATTACCTACCCAACTTAACCGAAACCACGGCTACTCCCACATATAATTTTGCAAGCTCTTTCCCAGACCGATTAATCCCCGGGTGGATCTTTGGTAGGCTTAGTTATGGGAACACAAATATGGGGGAATAAGGTGTAAAAATGGGCAGTTACGCCCCTTTTCCCCCAGTTTTGAAATATTAAAAAATCTGTATCTCATTCACCGTTCCCTAGTTTTTCGTCAAACAACTTTTTTCTGTGAAAAATCAGTTCTACAACATATCAATTTTTTCCCTCCGGAGCTTGACTTTAACTAACAACATATGATAAAGTGTATCGAAGGCTTTTTTTAAGATCGATAAACACTCCAATCGCTGATTTTTTTTTTTATTTATTAAGAAATGCAGTAATTTCTTAGATCAAGTCTGCTAATGCCCTTGATGAGAATTGTGGCAACAACAAAATCGCTCTGTAATTATAAAAACATCTTTCTCACCAGACTTAGAGATTGGTATAACCTTCGGAAGTTTCATGTTTTCTGGGAAAGCACCAGATAAGAGACTCACGGCAAATATAAGACAATTAAATTAAGTAATAACCTGTTTTAAGCGGGGTCAGTACATTAGTCCGAAGGTCTTTTGGTCCAAAGGTCCGTTGGTCCGAAGTAATTATTTCAAATATACACAAAAATATATTTGAAAACACATTGTTTGGGAACACCATGTAGGTCAATTTTGGCTAACAATATACAACAAGGTTGGTGGCGTTTTCATGTATACGTACATTTAAAAAAACAAACGTTAATTTAAGAGATGTTATCTAAGATTTCGGGTCGAAATATAGTAATCCAGTAACGTAATGCTGTTTGTGAGTATTTCGTAACTCTTTACGAACCTATGATTTTAGTGTATCACACTTAAATTCATAGTATTCAAAAAGTTTTGTTATAGGCCAGTGGTAACGGTTTATACTAATTGTGATCAACCGTCCAAAAGCGCTCATCCTTGAGTTATTGTCTATTAGCAACGGCCTAATTAGTCTACCGCAAAGGATACGCTCCACTGATCACAATTTCAAAAGCTCTTGTCTAAACCGGTTGTTGCCATGGCAACTCCTGAACATTATAACTCTCAAAACCTTAAACCGGTTTTTGTCAAAGATGATGACATTCGAAAAAAAGAAGAGGAATATATAAAGGAGGAAGAAATCTACTTCGCTTTAAATGAAATAATAAAATGTGACTCTCTGGTAGGAGCACAGAAAGTCAGAAACCTATGGAGGATCTATATCAATGACCATGCCGATCGAGTTAAGTTAATAATATCAGGGATAAACCTAAGAGGTAAACATGTAAATGTTTATGATACAAATCCCTACATTAGCAGAGAAAATGCAACTCGTGTATTAGTTAAAGATATACCGTTATCGGTTAGGAATGAAGAAATCACTGATGTACTTAAAAAGCTTGGCTGCAAAATTGTGGGAGAAACACAATATATTAAATTCCGTATTAACGGAAAGCTATCCCGCTTTTTAAATGAACACCGGGCTTTTTTTGTTGAACCGTTCAAGGACAGTCTGCCAAGATTCTGTAAAATAAACAATTTCAATGCAAGATTATTCCACAAGAACCAACTTGATCCAAATAAATGTTTTGAATGCAGTCAACCAGGGCATAGAGCTATAGAATGTCCCAAAAAATTGAG